CAATATTTCATATCCCCATGTTTATATATTATTAATAATTAATAATTTTTTTTTAGAAAATAACCAATCGTTTCGCTAGATAAGACCCTTCTTCCTCGGCTGGGATCGTTTAGAGCCCTTTGAAGCTGCATTTAAACTGCATTTTGGAAGTTCAAAGTCAGGAGCACCATAGAAGTCCATTATATGGAGAGAAATCCTGAAATGTTTTCCTCAAAAAAACAATTTCTTTACGAGATAAAGAAAGACATGAACATTTTAGATGACAAGGGTGTTGAGTACATTATCTGTAAAAAAAAATTCTGGAAGTGAACTACTCCTTTAATGCAGCTTCACAGAAAGTTATGGTGTTAATATTTGTAATATCTTAATACCTTAGTCACATTTAGCAGATAAGCGCTGTGCTCTAATAGTTTCCATTTTGTGCCAACATAAACAGTCAAGAAGTTCAGAATTGCTATATAGTAAATATCACTTGTACTTGCAGATTCTTACGTATTCAACATTATATATTATCCTGTGCAATGATATAGGCCTAAAGAATCACACAGCCAAAATTAGCTATATAGCATGTATTTATTTGTGTTAGCGTATTGTATTTATGGATGCGGGTACAGATAGATATTCTGTATATTCAACTTTAAATATATCTCTGATCAATAATATAGTTTACATTTTGTGGTGATAGAAATGAGAAAGCAATTGAGATTTGCTATAAAGTGATGTTAAATATTAAGGGAAATTATTTAGAACCAAATAGTTGGATTTTATACTGCACACATATTAGGATAATTTGATCATCTCCAACCCTATTTTTACATGACCCTGATTCTCCTAATATTCTTTTAGTGTCTTGGCATTCCAGCAGCCCAATGCTAAAAAGCAGCGGCGCATATCAGAGAATGCAGCAAAGTTGGCGGCCATGGGAGTGTTGCCACGAAGAGAAAAGCTTCTTCAACTCCGAAGGGCTGCAGCCGCCTCTGGGGTGTCAGTTAAAGAACATCCAGTGGCCAATAATAATCCAGATAGAGCATTTTATGACCTGTGGAGTGCAGGCAGTGAGTAGAGTTAGTCTTTACACTTTCTCTTGTGATGTGATGTACGCAAGTGGCACAATATGACTTGTCTTCTCAATGTCCAACAGCACCAGAGACGGCTGATCCCTACTATCTTGAACAGACTAAGAAAAAGCTTGTCAAGGTGAGAACAGTGTGTTCTTTTCTGTTGTGATAATTCATAGCCATTTTGACAATGGTGTTGCTAGTGGCTGGCCAATATTTCAGTCATTATTTGGTATTTTGTAATTATCATTTTTTATTTCTTAATTATCAGTAATTACTTTTAATTATTTGGTATTTTTTAATTATTAATAATCGTCATCTGGTATTATTTTTTTAATCAAATGTTGTGAACAGGATTTTGACAGTACAGGTGTACAAGGAGTCCATTCTTACTAAAAAATACTACACTAAGACTATAAGAAGTAGAATCTAAAGTAGAAATGTTTTTGAAAGTTATTTATCTTTTATTTCCACAAATTTTTCTTAATATTTATTTTTAAACTCAAACTATTTCTTATTAAAGTGCCCCTATTATGGATTTTTGAAAATGACCTTTCATGCAGTGTGTAACACGTGAATGAAAACACCCTGCAAAGTTTTAAATCTGAAAGTGCACAGTGTATAAAGTTATTGTCTCTCAAAAGAAAGAGTAGACTCTGAATCATTGAAACGAGTCGTTTTTAAAACGAATCCCAAGCCGTTTCATGTTGAAGTCAACATGAAACATTTGCATATTACCCGCCCACTTGTTGGTCTTTTCGGGTTGGTCTGAATGAAAATGCAAATTCATTCTTTGCCACTAGGTGCTGCTTTAGGAGCGGTAAAATAGCGGTTTCCCCGTTAACGGCTGTAAACAAAGCAGCAC